GTAAGATTTATAGTTTCTCTTGAATTGGAACATGTATCAACACACAAGACTTGATAACCAAAAAAAATGTAAATTTTATATACACTGATAGTATATATATTATCATCGATAATTTTCTGATACGTGTGTTAATGTTGAATTTTAAATTCAAATTTGTATAATTATTATTTATCTAAAATTGACTGACAGTATATATGTTGCGAGTATAAGAAAAATTAATCCAAAAAAATGAAGGAAATGAAAAGTTCAAATTGCCCCTTGAAACAAAATCTTAGAAATAAGAAGCATACAAGAAAATCTGTAGGTCCACACGTGTTGACAATGATGGTAATTGGTAGATTGTAGTCAGGAAGGTCTTGTTGGCGAATCAAAACCCCAAAGGGTGGGACCATACGAAAGTGGGCTCAATCACCATTCTAAAATCCTAAAAAGAAGTACTAAAAGAATTTGGGCCCCAAAAAAACAAAAAAGTTGTCCAAAATTTGGAGTTAAGTGGATTGGGTGGACTGGATACTGATACCTTTTACTTACAACATATTCCAGAGTTTGAGGCCATATCACGTGAATGGAGGAATCAAATCTATATATATATATATAGTTTTGCCCACTAATCGTTGACTAACCCAAATCCCTTTTCAACATCATTATTGATCATGCCATTTGTGAATTTATCCTATCATTCCTTGTCAAAATAATTGCACGAACATGTATAGATTTGGAATAGCAAACCTACTTCAAATGGTTATTACCACCTGCTAAACTCCTACTATCATTCAACATCTTTTATTGACAACATTTACATAACGAGTACCTTTAAGGGAATCAGTTAAATGAGATTACAAGTGTTAAATTTTATGGATTTTTATAATCAGTGTTTTGAAGTATTCGTTGAAGGGCTTTTCTAATTGGTGTCAATCATTAATATACCTAAAATTTACCTAATCTATCGTATATATATACATAGACTAATTATTACCTGCCCTTACATTTATGTGACTTCTCTGTTTAATCTTACCTACTCTCTTTTGTATTTATTTATTTTTTCTAATTAATTTTATATTTTAAAAAATATGACACCTGAATTATATTATAACGAGTGCCCAATGAACATTCGTTAGACATACCCTTCATTAAAATTCTTAAATTGTACTTGTGAATGTTACACAATTATATTTATTAGTGCCTTTTATTTTCTCAAATTGGTCTTGCTCTTATCAAATAATTTACATTTGAATCTATCTGCGGGCACTGGTTAATCAAACCCAATTTCTAGATAAATTTTTTAAATTTTATCATTGGAAGGGATATTGCATAAAAGTATTTGTACGGTGTTTCAAAAAGTAAGTCCTAATAATCTTGATATAACTAAGAAAAATATAGGCACTCGTGGGTTTTATGTGGAAATTTTCCTTTTATTCATGATCTAGGCATAGGTAGCAACCCATCCTATAATTCTTCTCGTTGCCTCTAGTGAGAAAGTTATCCCATTAAAAAAATGAATTGTACAATACAAAATAACATAAAAACACACATATTAAAAAATTTAACCTTTCCTTTCTTCCAATTCTCCCTTTAAGTCTATATGGTGAGAGTTTCGTTACAATATACATATATAATGTATGTATATTTATGTATAATGTATGTATGTATATAGTGCATTATTTGTGTGGTAGAGAACAAAAATATTCTTATAATTGTGGGATTAAAAATGTAGATGGTAAAGTCCCACTGAAAAATGTGGGACTATGGTCTATGGATGATTCTATGGTCCAAAAATATAAAGCTAAACGGCGCAGCTCGCAGCCCCTATATTTAGGGTTATGACCTTGGGAACCTCCCCAATGGATCTAGCCACCTTGTTCTTCTGTCACCACCCTCACCTGCCCAACTAAAACCCTGATTTTATTTTTTCCATTTTTGACAGGACTGAGAAAATACCCTGAAATTTCTTCTTCAGTTGGGCAGTGCAAATTATTTAGTTATAATAGCCATGAACTGCTCATATAAGAGAACTGCAGGTATGATTTCGATTGTTGATTTGGAGGCAAAAAATGTAGGGTAAGAAAATATAAGAAAGATATCTAAATCCTGACTAAACCTAAACTAAGTACGTGAGAATTATCCAAAAGATGGTGCAAGCATTGCTTGAAGTTTGATGCATCATAGTCCATTTCTTGAAAATTAAACTCAAGACTGTTTTTTCTCAGCATCTTCACACAAATCTTCTCGTAACCATTAAACTGACTTTAAGAGCTCTTCCTGATTATTGGATCGACAAGTTTTGCAATAAGCTTCTATTGCCTATATAGTGCCTTCTGTCTCTTTCTTTATATTAGGTCCTTTCTCAATTCTACAAGTATTACAGAAGAATCTGCAGATTTTTCAAAAAGTTGAAAAGTTTTATTGTGTCGTGTAAAGAAACTGCACTAAATTTTCTGAAACAGCTCTAAGATTACATTGAGCCCATAAATAGTTGGGTCAAAACTATCATTGATTGATTCTGCCCAACTCCAAAAAGAAAAAAAACGAGGTACAAGATAATGAAAAAGGGTTAACACTAATAGCAAAAACATGGTTGAAGTTGATTGAGTTACATTTTGCGTTCTATAACAATCTCCATACACTACTTTGCAATGATTTCCTAGTCAAAAAGAAACAGCCTAACATGGTTCATAGGACACCCTAGGTGTGGAAAATGCTTAGGGGAAAATGTGTGACAACTCATAAAGGACCAAATAGGACTAGTTCAACTCCCAAATATGATCACATCCAAACAGGAAAAAATGAAAGAAAATGGAACTCTGTCGTATTATAGTGAACTTGCCATGCATTTTCATGATTACATGTGATTATTAGCTGACTTTATAGGTACTTGAATATGAGAGTTTGTTGTAACTGAGAGGGAGGCAAGAAGGGTCGTAAATTCGTAATGAAGAGAAGCTGCTTGCTAACAAACATGGTAGAATAATTATGAAATTCTCGTACCTAAACTGGTAGCATCTTCAGAAGTTAGCGAAGCAAATAAATTTCAGTCAACAATAACTTCATTGTTGAAGTTAGCAAGATCGAACCTTGTCTTTTTTGCATGATGTCCACACCACTTGGGAGTCCGCTAGTGTTGGAATAGTCAAAAACAAAAAAAAAACCTAAAAACCTAAAAAAAGAAGAAGATAATTTACCATATCAAAGCAATTTGGGCAATCATGTGTGAAGCCAATAATTACGTGCTTTACAAAAATTCTTTGGAGTAAAATATTGACTGTCTTGTCTAGGTGTGTTTAGTTTTTCACTTTTTTCCTTCAAATGGTTTTATTTATGAATCGAGCCTCGGAAATGAAATTGTGGACAGATTGGTATTACCTAGGTCTGCAAACGAGCCGAGCCGAGTCGAGTTTTGAGCTAATCGAGCCGAGTCTCGACTAAATTTTACCAAACTCGAGCTCGAGTTCGAGCTCGACGAGCTGGCAATTTTCGAGCTCGAGCTCGACTCGAATCAAGTCGAGCCGAGCTCGAAAAAAATAAAAAAAAAATATTTTATTTTTAAAAAAATAAATAAAATAATATTTTTTCTGCATAAATAATAAAATATTAAGGATATATACGTAATTTCACTATGAAAATAAAAAATAAAAATATATATATAATATACGTAATTTTATTATTAAATAAAAATAAAAATATATATATATATATATACTCAAGCTCGCGAGCCCGCTCGCGAGCTAACGAGCTTAATATTCTGAGCTCGAGCTCAACTCGAGCTCGATTAATATCGAGCTCAACTCGAGCCGCTCGTGAGCGGCTCGATTCGTTTGCAGCCCTAGTATTACCTGCCATGCACATCGTTTGGATTGAAGGAAAGGGACGAAAAAGAAAGGAGAGGATTCCGGTGAAAAGAAAAGGAAAAGAAAGTAGAGGAAAATGAAATCCATCGATCTTGTTTGTATTAAATATAAAAGGAAAATAAATGAAACCTTACTAATTTTTTATTTATTAGTATGAAATACCTATTTCTTCCTTGTTTAAAGTTATATAAAGTATAAATTTGTATTTCTTAAACTCAATTAGGCTCGATTGAGTTCGAATTAAGTTTGATTGAACTTGATTTACACAAGCTCAAACTCAAGTTCAAATAAGGCAAAAAAAAAATCGAGTTCAAACTTGAACTCTGACTTTCAAGAGCTCGAGTTTTAACTCAAATTGAGCTCAAGTAGCGAGTAATGCGTTACTCGAGTTTGACTCGATTCGATTACACCCCTACTCTTTATCCTTTCTGTCCCTCCCCAAAAACCTCCAAACATTAAGAATCTTATCTAGGGCTGCAAATGAGTCGAGTTTTGAGCTAATCGAGTCGAGTCTCGACTAAATTTTACCAAACTCGAGCTCGACGAGCCGGCGAATTTCGAGCTCGAGCTCGACTCGAATCAAGTCGAGCCGAGCTCGAACTCGAGCTCAAGCTCGAAAAAAAATAAAAAATAATTATTTTATTTTAAAAAAAAATAAAATAATATTTTTTTCTTAATAAATAATAAAATATTAAGGATATATACGTAATTTTACTATGAAAATAAAAAATAAAAAATATATATATAATATACGTAATTTTATTATTAAATAAAAATAATATATATATATATACCCAAGCTCGCAAACGAGCTTAATATTTTGAGCTCGACTCGAGCCGGCTCGAGCTCGACTCGAGCTTGACTCGAGCTGCTCGTAAGTAGCTCGATTCGTTTGCAGCCCTAATCTTTTCCCTCCATTTTCTTTCTTTTCCATTACCTCCCATTCCCCCAAACACAAACTAAGCTTAAATGAATGAAATGATAACCCCAGCATCCGTAGAATGACCCAAGCTTAGCCCAAGGGAAGTTTGGGCTGGTTCACTTCAAAATTGTCTGCTTTTGAGACCGTATAAGTAAACTTTGATTGATTCTGGGCTCCCTGGTACGGCCTTCTGTTAGAAAGGCATTCTTACAACGTTGATTTAGATTACCAAACCCATGACCATCGGTCCATCACAACAAAAACCCACCCAAAAAAAAAAAGAGAGAGAGAAAACCGCGGGAAAATGTCTGCAGCGACGGCTGTGGTGAAGGGATTGGTGCTGTCCCGGCCAGTGACTTTTGTCACCGGCAACGCCAAGAAGCTCGAGGAAGTTCGTGCTATTCTGGGCAACTCGATTCCCTTTCAATCGCTCAAACTTGACTGTATGTAATTGTTTTACAACATATATATTAGCACTTAATTCTTTGTTTCGCTATTTGATCTTTCTTTTTCCTTCGGTTTTTTGGGTTTATGGTGGCTGTGCAGTGCCGGAGCTACAAGGTGAGCCGGAGGATATCTCCAAGGAAAAGGCTAAGATTGCTGCCAAAGAGGTATGTGCGTACAACTATCGATGCATAAAGTACTACTCTTGCTCCATGCCGTACAACACTTTTTGCGTTGATGCTCTGTCACTGGTTTGTTCCTATATATCAGCTTGTGTTACTGTTTTGTGTGCTTTATTTGAATTTTTTGTTTGTTAAATCAAATGGAAACCCTTGAGTGCAAGATTCGAAGCATGGGGTGCAAGTATTTCTGCACGGAGTACAGGTTTTAGTCCATGCTTCGTCGGTAATTGTTGTGTTTAAGTTATTGTATTGAAAAGAATATGCTCTGCCATTGATGCTCTGTCTCATAACACTATCTGTGTAGTGTATGCGTCTTTGTTTGTGCGTTGTTTTTATGCTTGGTGTTGAGTTTCATTGTTTTTAAATGGAATTGGAAGGTGAATGGACCGGTGCTGGTGGAAGATACTTGCCTCTGTTTCAATGCCCTCAAGGGTCTGCCAGGTAATTCCCTTAAAAGATGGAATTTTAGGTCTTCTTTTTTCGTTTCTTCTTTTTTAATTTATCAACATGTTGTGAGCAGTGTTTGCTAATTTTATGATTTTTGTTGAAATGATTTTGCAGGGCCTTATATGTAAGTTTTTCTACTTCAAGCTTCCATGAGGTTAAGTTTATTTTTCTGCTTTACTTGCATTTTCTTAGACATACCATTACGTTCTTTAGCTGACTTGTTAATGGCGCAAAAAATCAGGGTTCTTCTTTGTTATCTCTGGTGAAGAAACAGCGGTCGGAAGTGAATGAATTTTGAGCCTGAAGCATGTTGTTAGGCCTTGGATCAAAATTAACACTTCATAAGGTTGAAAAACAAATAGTCCAGTCTAGTTTCTAATGTGAAGAATGATTCGTCTCCAAATTGCTGGATATGTTAAGGGCTTTTTCTTGTTCATAGGGGGTGGCGTTTAGTACTACAACTTGAGTTTCATATAATAATAAGATTTACTGTCTTGTGATTTCGGAAAGAATGTGTAAAGAAAGAGAAAGCTGAAAAACATCTTGCATAAGCTCTGGTTACAGAAAAAGCAACTATGGCTGGACTCTTTGAACTTCACGAGAGGTTTTATCATGTAACTGCTGGAATGCATTTTACCACACCATAAAGTTCTCTCTTTTTACAAGCACATTATGTGCTTCTTTGGTAAATCGATTTATTATAGCTCTTGAAATGTCATTTTGGATTACTCAAGTACTGCTCTTCATTTCAATTATGTGTGCCTGATTTTCTTTTGCTTTTTTATGGCAATCACAAACTAAATCTCTAGCAAGTGGTTTTTGCAGAAGATTGGGCATGAAGGTATATTTTCTCTGTTGTTATGTTTCTTTTGATTCTTTGATATGCAATTATAAGAACTTCTTTTGGTCCTTCCAGTCATTTTCTTGTTTGTTAAGCTTGTTCTGCTATTGTAGGTCTGAACAACTTACTGATGGCATATGAAGATAAATCAGCCTATGCTCTTTGTATATTTTCTCTTGCTCTTGGGCCAAATATGGAGCCAATAACTTTTCTAGGAAAAACTGCGGTATGTCTTATTAACTGAATCAAATCAAGTATTATGTGTTTTTGCTTGTCAGTTTCATAGTCTGTAGCATTCATTTTTGCAAGCATGTATAAAGCTTTTGCTATTGGATAGAAGTCTTCAAGCTTTCCTACATACATTAATCTTTTGATTTTCAAGTTGTGCTGAGTTAGAAAACTGGCTAGAGAATGCTGGCCATCCTTTGTTTCTGAGATACATTACTTCTTTTTTGGGTTACTTATTTGTGATTGTTTTCCATTTTATAAACATGGAAGGAGTTTGAATGAAGTTGGAGAGGCAATAATGGATTTGATAAATACCGTTATCTAATTGGTGCATTGGATGACTTCTCTTCTAAACTAATATTAACAGATTCCTTAATGGAACTAATATTAACAGATTCCTTAATGGATTTGCGTTAGCAATATCTCTCAAGAAAAGTCTTTTCGAAAGGAAAAAATTATTTAACTCCTTGCATACATCTGAAAGTTGTAGTTTCTCCAAAGCTAATTTTGTGCGTCCTCATTCCCTTCTCTCCAAGAAAGTAGTAGGATTTTTTGGAGTAAATGTTTCACTTCATCTTTTTGCACTATTTTTGTTTTATCTTAATGGTAATCTCCCGCACCCGGTCATCTATGAGGGAGGAGGAAGGAGTAACCAATTGACTCTCGAATTTTTTGACATTTCAGGGCAAAATTGTTCCTGCCAAAGGACCCAATGACTTTGGATGGGATCCCGTCTTTCAACCTGATGGATATAATGAGACGTAATACCCATTCTCTACCTTGAGCAGCTCCTTTTTTAGTTTCAGATTTATCATTTTCTTTTACACGAAAGCCTTCCAGATAATTGACATGTTCTTGCTGCAGGTATGCTGAGATGCCGAAGGAAGAAAAGAACAAGATCTCCCACCGCTCCAAAGCTCTTTCCCTGGTGAAATCCCATTTTGCTGAGGCTGGATATACATTTCAAACTGACACGACAATCGCAGAGTAAGCTATGAGGTCTTATTGATCCAAAAGTTTTAGGCAATTGCAAATCACAACCTCTTGAAGACATGAATAGGACTGCAAAGAAACGATTATTATTCTGTTTATGATCGCAGATTAGATCACGGAAATCCGATTTAGTGCTGTCAGCTAAATCTGTATCTTTCACTCATCATACTGCACACACTGGAGTTGACTTGTAAAAGGAGATTATACGACTAAAGTTTCTAAAAAACAACGTGAACTATCCAAAACTTTGCTAGATACACTGCTTTTGGTTGTTCCATCTAGCTGATAGTTCACAGGACGGACAAACTGCATTATTCGGTTTGGATAGAATTTCTGCTCTCATTAACTTTTGTAGCTGAAATACAATGTACTGTTTAACTTGAGAATGGCTGTTCATATGGTGTTAATGTTAGTTTCTTGACGGATCAGAGCTTGATGTATACTAATGAAGAGTAATTATGCAAGAAATTATTTGCTTAACGAAACAAAAAGCCATTCGATTACTCTAAGCTAGCCAATTATCTCTCATCATTAGCGGATCTTGAAAAGATTAAACCCAAATCCAAGTGGAGGCTTACATGCATCAAAAGCAATTTATTGTGCTTGTTCTGTTAAGGAAGATATAGATGTCTTTTCCGCAATCCAGTCCATGAATAGTCATTCTGCCAGTCGTCTTAACACTCAAAAATTGCCAATCGTCTTACGCTGAAGTTATTAAACAAAAAAAAAAAAAAAAAAAAGAATCTAATTCTTCACTAAGAACGTAAACTTTCACTTCTTGTGATTCTTTTTTCTTTCAACCAAATACCTTTTTGTTTCTTATCCACTTTGAATCTGCAAATATTTTTTCTCGTCTTAAATTACGACTATTATTACGTTTGTGGCCTAAAAGTTTCATTTTATTTTCTGGGCATATGATCATTGCTTGATCGAATTCTTTCTCAAGAAATTATGCACATCCATTGTCAACCCAAGAAATGAATCTTTAACTGCTGTAGGTAGGGTCGGGTCACAATTTGCTGCAAACTACTACACGAAATGAAAATCGAGTTCTCTTTGGATTATTGCTGATACACACAATAATTACATAACTAGTAAAAGAAGCTTAGATGTGAATCGTTCGACAAAGAAAAGGAGGCTACCTTCTCATCAAAGTACATGTGCACTTTTCTTAAATGGTTCTTTTGATTTTAAGATCAATGTATTTAGAAGGTGGGGAGGGAGGGAGGGGAATGCAAAGTCAAGAGCAGAAGCAAATGAGGTGAAATTTCCACTTCGTATTGGTATGGACGAATTCCCATTCTCATGCAGTCAGTCATATACTAATTGTTTAGGTGTTCTGTTGCATTCCATGGCTTTCTACAATTGCATCGATCACTTAATTTTCAACAAGAATGGTGAAATACCCATGAGAAAGTAACTAGTGAAAGTAAAAAGAGTGCTCGATGCCCATGAGCCCATCCATCCTGATCCTGCTAATTGGAAATCATATGGATTTGGAGAATTTACGGTGGTGGACTCTTTGCACAGTGGTGAAACAAGATTCCTCTCAAAGTTGAGACCACTTGGTTTCTTTTGTGTATACAAACATCATCATCATCATCCAGTAAAGTTGGTGCAAGATGTAAATCCGTCAAGATCATAGTCACAACAGGAAAAGTCGATAGTAATGTAACTAATCTCTTAGATGATAGGGGATAATCATTGATCGTTAGTGTATGTAAACACGGCAATCTTCACCCATGTGCACATGGAATAATCATTGCAACCACCGGCAAGTAAAAGTAAGCAAACGGTGGATTAATATGATTGATAGCATAAAGTGGTAGTGATAATAATGAACAATCAAGAGACCAAAAAGACTCTGCTTCCATTGACAAGGCAAAGCAAGAAAAAAAAAAAAAAAGGAATAAAGGTAAAGAACCTTGTTGTTGCTATGCAATCGTCCATTACAAAAGCTTCGCTTTTTTGTTTTTCCCTTTTCCATCACTCAGGGGATTGACATTCACACACTGTGGTATACGACTCCAAAAGGCTAAAAAGAAAAGGCAAGAAAAAAGAAATTACAAAAATCATTTAGTTCCTATAAACCGGACACTTAGTGGATGGATAAAATGATGGTTAGAACAATGGACAGAAGACGACTGAGGAGGAAAAAGAAGATTTAAGAATATGAACAACGCTTCTGCGCCTGCTTCTGGAATGGGCGGTGGTGGTTTCTTTCAATTGAAGCAGGCCGAGGTTGCCAATAACAATGGAGGTTGCCAATAACAATGAGAATATGGATGAGGATGAATGATTGACACGTGCAAAAAATGTACACTTGCCAATTGAAGTAAATGGATGGGTGGATGGATGACTCACAAACAATGGCAGTAATATCGTGGAGAAAGGAAAAAAAAAAAAAAAAAACAGAAAAAGACTCTCTTTCATATTTGTGCAATTGGCACCAGCTGCTAACAAGTGCGGCCCCTGCGGCAATCAAGGACACCAGCACCAGAAGTCATTGATGCGACCATGGAAGACGACTTGGCACCTAAACTTGAAGCTCTGGCATAGCTGGCCGAGGCCCCTGCTCCAGATGGAGTGAAATAGGCACCATTAAGCATCAGGTCGCCCTCTGATCTCCAGTTCCAACCCTTCCACTGGGATTCAGCAGTTTCCACCCTCTTTGTTACCTGTCAAAACCAGTCCATTTACATAAAAGGGGATCAGTTCAATGAGGTCATGGTTAATAAAATGTCATCACCACGTAGATGTTGAATGCTGGTAAAACTGTATATTACCTCCTTTGCAAAAGGGTTGAGCGGGGCGAGGTAACGATTTCCCTGGCTATTAATTGTGGGACTAGCACTTCCACCTATGGCATACATCTCCCAATGAGTGTAGTCATTGTTAACCACATGGAAGTACCCGTGTCTGCACCTGCAATTTTGCAAATTGTCTCTGTTTTAGGTTTCCTAAACAGAATGCTTGAACCCGAAGGCCTTTGAGTGGAAGAATGTTTAAAAGATAATTCAGCTATTGAGTGTTTTGTGTTGCTGGATTTTCATGTTAGATACAATTTGCAATAAAATTACCTTGGCATTCTCTGAATGAGACCCTCTCCAAAGTGGTTGTAGGCAATTGTCACTTGCATTTGCTTGTCTCTCACGTAGGAATCACTGTGACCCAAGAGCATTACCTGTTCCCAAAAACATGAGACTTGATTAATTGGACACCATAAAAACAGAGGCTTAAGTTGGAGCAAGTTTATAAATAGGGATTTCAAATTCCAGACCTCATTGTGGTGGGTAAAATAGTTGTTGGAAATGGTAATAGCAGTCGAGCCCATGACAGCATCAACAAGGCCATCAGCACAGTTAGAGAGGGAATTGTGGTCTACCCAGATATGGCTCGAACCGAAGATGGAGATGGCATCACCATCAGCCATTGTCCTCCAGCCATAATGTGATGGAGAGCTTCTAACCATGGCATTCCCAGTGGGTTTACAATCATGGATGTGCAGTCCATGAATTATGATATTGGTAACAAATTGGATTGTGATGCACGCACGATTAGCAATGTGGACATTCACTCCACGGGCATCAATTGTTTTAAAGCTGTTCATGATTAATTCCTGCTTCAGTGTGATGACCATATCACGCTTAAACACAATCCAAAGGGGCTGATCCTGGATAACAGCATGGCGCAGGGTACCAGGCCGGGGGTTAACAGGGTCATCATCACTAGAGTCAGTCACAACATAATACCGGCCGTCACGGCCGCCAATGGCATTGCGTCCAAAACCAATTCCACAATCAGCAAGGCGCTTGCGGTTCTTTTGCCAATTCGGATCACAGCGCCAGCAGTCATCAATAGGATTACCAGTTCCACATGAGAAAAATCCAAGTTTTCTCCTCTCAGTGCTGTTATTGATGCTCCTGTTAATCCCAAAGAAAAAAAAAAACAAAATTGCTTAGGACTCCAGATTGTAATCATTGAGTAAGAATTAATTTCATCAGACAATAACCATGGGTAAAGCAAGCAACCCAAGGTGTCACATGTCCCTGTCTGATATTTTCTTGTCCCAATTATTACTATTCTCAGTAATTCTAGGGATGCAAGAAAATGTAAGACTTTTTGCCAAATGATGTGTCGGTGGAGGTAACCATGCTCAGTCATTGACCTTTTGAAGTCATCTCTTTCTTTAACAGCCACATCTGGGCTTGTTTTGTTCTACAAAAAGGTGAAGACAGACTGTCACTTGACATTAGGTCCTTCGCTTCAAGTCTAAATTGTGCATCAAATCTACCGTAACTTTTTTCCGTTCATGTGCCACAAATGGATGATACAGGCACGTGAAAAAGATAGGACAGAAAATGGAATGAAAGATTACGTGCACAAGAGGATTCCTTATCTGAACAGGCTTAATCTATCTTACATTACAGGCATGCACCAACCAGTGGATTAGTCATATGTCTCGCGCACCTTTTCCAGCATGCACATGCACTGATGCACATGGAATTCAATAGACATATGTATGTGACAGCAGACAGCAGTCAAATGATTACTTTACAGTTCGTAACTAAACGGATCAACAAGATAATAAAGAAATCTGCTGAATTTGGCACTGCTTTTAATGTAGTATTATCTCATATGGTAGCATAAATTAGCCAATGAAATGAAACAGAATTAATCAATTCAGTTTCCCATAATGCACCATAATCGACATGTACGGGCACTTGTCTATTTGAGATACGTGTCCATATCTGAATCTAACCGAATTAAAAAAAAAAAAAAGAACAAGATCAGAGAATTAAATAGCGTAAGACACGGATCTAACTAGAGTCCCATGTGCACAAACTGAAGTGCAGATAAGAACATGGGTTCTATGGATCCAAGCAATCTCCATAATGTGAGTCCCGATGGCACATAATCACCAGCAATATACAAGTAACAATAGTGTAGAGCAAGAAGTGTTAGAACTCAAAGGTAGTTGCTAGATTCACCAAGAAACCAGCAAAATAATTGAATCATTAGCTAGAGAAAATTTGTTGCTAGATAAGGAGGACTAAAATGTGGGTTGGGTAGGTCTGCTATGTATCAATGCCATACCAATGAGGAGCACTTTCAATTGAAGGACCACGTGATAAGCCAAACCGCAATAACCAAAACACCATGTTGAGTAAATGCAAGTGAAAACATTTATTACAATGACAGGGACCAAAACAGAGAATAACAGTTAAGGTAGTAACCTACATTGCCACCATTGAAGCAATCTCTTCGGGGTCATCAACTGCGTTCTCAGCCAAAGCAGCCTCGACCTCTTCCAACCTGAAACATCCCAAAATACCCATTACCATTATTATCACATTCTCTACCATTTTTTTGGCCAGTATTTAATTTTCAACTGCAGACATCATACACATCAACCAAATTAATCCAA